TATTTTCTGAAAGCAAACATTTAATATAAAAAATCACGGTGCTGCAAAAGACAGAAAAATGCGGTGATTTAAGAGGAATAATGCGGTGCCTAAATACTTATGATTGACAAGTTTGCGGTGCTTAAATATACACATGAAACTAAAAATATACCAAAATATACAAAAAAACGGGTTTTATGTATTCGATACTTGTTCATAACAATAATGTACATTTTATATTTGTATTTTGGCCAGTTATATGAATGAAAACGACTAGAAATGTTTATTTCGTAATCAAAGCAAGATTTTTTCAGTATGCGCTAAATGTTTTACTATCCGACTTAATTATGAAGCACATTTTGCATGTAGTAAGATAATAAGTTTCAATAAATGGCAATTGATATGAAAAGAAAAAAATAATGATTTTACCTTGTTTAAGCAAATTAATGCGTTTTCGTCTCGGTACAGGCTTGCTGTCCATTTTGAACCACAGAAATAGACGGTGTCGCGGAAGAAGTAAGATTTTGACGTGCCGCGGAAATTGTGGTAACTGCCCTATCACCGTGTATTTACCTGTGAATGTTTCTTTGTGCAGTAACACGCCTTTGCGACTCATGCAAAAAGGGTATTGCACAGTCTGCATATGTTATATTTGACGTAAACGTTTCTTATTTTTTGCGTCTTTACTCTATTTATATCACGCAATTGTCGTCATGTCAAATAAACGGCCCTGAATATTAATTTTTACGAGTCGTAAAAGTGACTCGATGTTGATAATTAGAAATATATTGAATGTGTATAATTCAAACTGAATTTATTCGGAGTTGAGTAAATAAATATTATGCCATCATAATATTTTTATTTAACAGAAGTTCCTTTATCGCTAAATTTCAAAAGAATATTTTCCTCATATAGGCGCACTTTTACGCTATATGTATAACTCACGTTGAATTATATGCACGGCCTAGCCAACAAATTGTGCGTTTACATGTAGGGTTTTTATTATAATAGACCATGTCGCCCTTCGCGCAGACTTCTATATGTAATATCATATTGTAAAATGGGTCGGTCTTGCACCGAAAATATTGAGAACTCGTGCACGCTCCGTGCAATACTATCTTTACGGAGTTGCAAAAGCGGCAGGGTATTGTATATTATACAAATAAAGATATTTGTTTTGTTGTGTTGACGAGTTACTTATACTGCCGGCGGAATCAACCATAAGGGCACTTGCTGGTTTCCAATCATCGTAACCTCTTCAGCGGCATCTTTTCATGCTGAATCTTACAGTACGGTTGAAGCAAAGGAAAAGATGTACAAACTATTTCAAAGTAAAAGGTTATAACTGACTTTTTGCCGAAAATTGAACTTTTTATGTTTTTTATAATGTACTTATTGTCCTTTATGTTATACTAAAATATATATAAATATTCAATCCTTATAAGGGAAAAAAAATAAAAAGTATTTTGTAATAACTTTTTTCTACAAATTATTTAGGGTGGTTCTAAAGTGTACTTGATTACCCGTTGTCTATTGTTGTTCCACATTTGTAATAATCATGATTAAAATTTTATAACTTATTTTAATCTACCTTTTTCCCCCTGACAAAGAATGCTGCCAACATTCTATACAGTTCACAGGCACTATCTGTTACTCATCATTTTCCCACAGAAATATATCTTTAGAATTAAATGCAACGAGAATATTACCGAATATGAAAAGAACAGGAAAATGATTCAGTATCATAGCTTGGCAATGGGTGATTACATAGACAGAGGATTCATTTGTTTCAGTGTTCCAATAAAGAACCAGAGAATGCATCTAAAACAGAGAAAAAAACAAAGACTATTTCGAAATTCGTTTTTTCACACAGGTATGAAAAGAGGGCGTGAGGCGGATGTTGACTTTTCATTATTCGCAGTGGTGTACAACTCAATCAAACCGAATCTCCCATTTTTATGTAATTTTGTTTTGTGATTAATGCTTCGAGGGATCACTTTGTTTCCTGATCATTTTTTTACTAAAAAATATGATTTGCGGTTCCAAAACAGTTGCAAACGCCAGTTAAGCACAAATGGCAGGGTTATATGTTGGAATAAAAGAGAGGAAGGAAAGCTTGCCTGGAAATAAAACCACGGAATATCACAGATCATTGTGTAAAAAAGAACAAACGAAAGCTTTCGACTGTTGATCACGCCTACACACGAAGACCCCAAGAGGAATATCTAAACGCAGATTTAAATATAAACGAAGTATATTCACTGTATGTAGAAAAATGCAAAGGACAAAATAGAAAGTGTGTTTCACGAGGCTGTTACAGAATCATTTTTAGTACAGAATATACTTTTTTTTTCCGTCCTAAGAAAGTCAATGTCCACTCTGCAATCTGTATGACACTTTGAGAATAAAGAAAATATCAAATATTAAGTACAAAAGTGACCAAAAAAAAAAAAAAACAGTGCAAGAATGCAAAAATCAGCCGATAAAAAACGCACAGAAAGAAGATCCAAGTTTTCTGTGTCCGCATTTTGATATCCCCGGGGGCTATTTTAAAAACACACACTCAGTTTTAATTGGTGATCTTCGTTACAAAGAAAACTGTGTTGCTGCAATTTGCTTCTATGAACTGGAAAATATGTAAGGGGACTTGTTATCTGTTGGATGAGACACATGGGGAAACCAGGCCTCGTGCAAAGAGGAACTTTTGTGTACTTGTATGTAACCTCTTGCTTTGCAAGTAAGACATCAGGTATTGAAGAAGTGACATTAAATATAGTAATGCATGTGGAGGACAGAATTGCAATCAGTTTGTTGCAAGTTGCTTAGTTCACTGTCGGTCCAAGATATACCTCACAATCAAATGGTTAAAACCACACATTTCTTGAAATTGGCCATTCATGTAATGGAATGCAAATTCCATACATTGCATCTATCAAGCATGAAAAGCCCTTTACAATAGTTTCATGTTCCATCGCAGGTGGCAAACAGTTATATCTATAAGCACGCCGGAAGCAACCATATATATTGTCGTTCTAATAAAATATCAATGACATACTGATTTCAAGTTGTACAAAGAACCCAAAACTTTGGGCTCAATGAAAAACGATGTTGATGGCGAAGCGTTTAATTGGCTGAATATATATAAAATACATGGTTTGATTTAGGGATGGATAAGGCTTATCCGGTGAGCTAGAAAGTGTATCTTGGCAAGCTTTAGCAGTGAACCGGATAAACCTTCTCCAGCCCGACATCAACCATGTATTTGTTTTATCCTGCTTTTAATAATCGTTTTTAGAAATAATTAAATGGTTTCATTCTTCAGTTTTCCCCGATAAAATAACATCTATATGTAGTTTTTTGTTTTCTGCTAAACATGTACGTTATCAAATGACGTAATGACTTGAGATTAGATAAAAGACAAAAAATACAGTATTGTTGTTTGAGCTATGGTTTTGTGGTGAGTGAGTTCCAAGGCATTACGTTAATGCAGAAGAAGAACAGAAGCAAAGAAAAGCTCTTTAAGGCTCCATCGAAAGGCTTATACAGAGAAGCTTCCAATATCTGCTGCAAAAGCTGATTTGAATGTCAACTTGTTTGCCTCTGGAACAATTCCCGAAGGATTGCGAATCATACTATGAGTCATTGCCATGCAGCAAATCTATAAAAGACAAACTTTCAGTGCCTTCTGTAAGTGAGAGTGAAGAAGATGGTGGAGGTCATAGAATAATTAATGACAAACATTCACATTTGGTGACATGAAACCAGTAGTCTTTATTTTACTTAACTATGATATGGGTCACTAATATCCTTAATTGCTGAGTCTGGGGTCTGTTTGACTTCAGTTCGATTATATACCAGAGAACATTCAAAAAAAATGAAATTGTAAACTTAGATTTTAGTGCAGTATTTTCGTAAACTTTTTAGTTATTAATTTATTTTCTTGTAGAAATCTAAATATTGAGCAGGTACATATTCATATTTTATGAATGAAAAGTGTTAATTTTGTGTACGATATTAATGTGCATTGTGTTTAATTACATTACGTTAAGGTTCTTTCAAAGTAAGGACATAATTGATAAATTTGCAACAGTAACAATTACTGCAACATCTGAATTTTCAGAAAAAAAAGGCTATAACTGCAAACTTATAACCTTTTACCCACAAGTTTATCTCTAACTTTTATTGCTAAACCTCAGAAGTAAACGGTCGTAAGTGCAGTTATTTACCTTTTACCGCTCAAACTTGTAGTCTTGACAGGATCTAAGTACATTTATTACCCTTTTACTTCTGTAAAATATATTATTTTTTGAAATCTTAGAACTTTAAAACAAACTATTAATTAACAGTGTTTTATCAGCACCAAGACAATGTAAACTAAAACAAAATATGATCTAATGTATCAACAAAAATGGGGGAAACAAAATTTATAAAAATATTACGGAAAAAAAAGGGGATTTTAAAAAAAAATGTTTTTTGCGTTTTTTCCCAAATCTTGAAATGGGAGTTATTTCCTTTTTCCTTTTAACCCCCGAACGTAATTTACCAAATGTAATTTAAGTTTGTAGTCATTATTTCGGGTAACTTGTTATTTGAAACAAAAATAAAAAATTTTAAAGTCCTGAGGGGACCTCCGAGGTCCCCTACTGTGCCCCAAGGGCGGGTGGACCCTTTCTGTGGGCACAAAAATTAAAACCCGTATCTCACTGGTTAGCATTTAAAAAAAAACTTTAAAAGTTATAAAAATCAATTTTCGTGTGACGATTCACGTAATTAAGAAAAACCCCAAGTTTTAATTTTTTTTTTTCCTTTGTTTAAAATTTACAGCGTTGAAAGAAAAAATAACAATTTAGTATTATTTTGTTTTACAAATAGGGAAATCCCTTCTGTATCTTGTTCATTTTAAAAGGTTTTTTTACCATTGCAAACATAATGAATAAGGAAGTAATCTAGCGTGGGCACGTGCGTTACTAAGTATATGATTAATTTAACGGTTATTTGACTGTACAATAAGATATACTTTATCATTCAATATTCCACAAACGTTTATTATCAGGGGAAAAACAATGGTTATTTTTAAATGTTACTTCATTAACCGATACAAAGATTGCTGAACGTATTTTGTGATATAAGCAGTAAATAATAAATAGTTGTAAGTAGATGGATAACAACGGCATAAAAAGGTAATAATCTTTAATGAAACTCTAAAGTTCATATATTTTGTTTGTATTTGGAAGAGTATACATGTAGTTTCTTAATTAACCCGAGTTTAACTTCGTAAATCTTTATTTATTTTTTATGTATCAATATATTTCTAAAACTGATTGTACGGACAAAACAAATGAACATAATTAATGAAAAATTAAATCGATTATTAATAAAAATGAAAATATCTGTGATGTTTATTATGAAATTCTTTATTTTGAAAAGAAATATAACATGGGAAGGAGTGCAGTGAAACCTATACTGAAAGTGAAAGTAGAAAGTGAAAGCGAAAGTAGAAATCGGAAAATGAATGTTTATTAGAAACCGGAAAATGATCGTTTATCTATGGAATGCCGGTAGGGACATGCCACTTTGCTTATTTGCCAACTTCTGAATTGCTTATTTGCTAATTGCTGATTTGCCAATTTGCTTATTTGCTAATTGCTGATTTGCCAATTTGCTTATTTGCTAATTGCTTATTTGCTTATATACATAAATTTGTATGCTATTGTCAGGCGATACGTCCGACTCGCGGAGTACGTTCTTGTTTGATATGAAATAACAAGTCTTTGTTGACTTTATTTCAAGCTCATGAACCTATATCATGTTATTATGTTTATAAAGTTTTGTGAATTATACTTGGGACAATTATGAGCAATCCATCATTACCTAGAATATAGGTAGAAAGGCAGATGGATACTTTTTATTCAATTTCGAAAAAAGAAATAAATTCAGTATCAAAAAGTAGTTGTTCTTTTTAATTATCTTGAGTTTCAGTTTTAGTTAGCACTAGGGATGCTATTCTATCCACCAAGGCATTGGTTTTCTTGGTAACTTGTTTTTTCTGTCATATCTCTGTTACATTTGCTGATTCATGCATCTTACTGCAACTTTGCATAAACTTTGCGTTACAAGCATGCATACAAAGTACATGAAGAAGCTGTGCCCCTTATATACTGAATGCCAAGGTCACCAAAGTATTGTACTACAAAGCCTTTGTTTTTTTGTCATATCTCTGTTACTATTGCTTACATCTAACTGTAACTTCACATAAGCATTAAATAGGCATCACGCATACACAATATTCAAAGAGGCTTTGTCCATTATACCCTAGGTCATGATCATGGTCATGGTCACCTGATGGCATGTAAAATGTTTAACATGAAGAAACGGAAAAGTGTGACCAAATTTTGCAGAGCTAAAAACGAAGCCTATTGCTTAAATGCAAAGATAAACACCCATATTTGGCATGCACCAATTGGATCATTCGTCATACTATGTGTTCGTACCACTAAAATGAGGCCCTACATGACAAATCTGCTGAGAATAACGACATTTTATATGCCATAAAATAAGAAATAGTTTTGTTTTCAAGTTCTTTTATTTTCAATCTTTACCCAATAATTTTCACTTATATATGACTATATCAAGTGTTTATTATGCCATCAATCTCTGACTTAGGCTGCACAAACAAATCTATAGCTGCAACACATTATAAGGCATTCTCAAGCACAGACGCTTGGGGTCAGATCCTGTCCCCAACGTGATACGCCTCTGTAAAGACTATATCAAAACTATTCTATTATTTATTTTAATACGAATATGACATCCGTTACAACGATAAAACCATTAAGTACTTTATTGAGACTTGGTGGTATATGGTATTTTTTCATACTGGTATATTAAAAATTGTTTGAAAACCAGTTTTAACGATTCCCAATTCTTGTTTAAATATAAAAATATTTTTAATAGAGTGTTTACAGGGTCACGTATCACGTTGGGGTTTGGGATCTGACCCCAAGCGTCTATAGTTCTCAAGGACATGTCAGCCATCAGTTGTAGACATATATCTGCGTAGGTATCACAGCAATTGAATTCATTGACCAACAGTATTCTTGGAAAAACACTGAATTTACAAGAATACTGTTGGTAAAAGTGAACAGATATGACTCAACTGGTTGTTTTTCATATACTTCCGGCACAGTGTAAACTATTTCTATTGCAAAAAAGCAAATTAGCAATTGGCAAATAAGCAAATACGTAAACCAGCGGTTAACAAATAAGCAAATTAGCAATTCAGCAATTGGCAAATAAGCAAATTTGTCATTAAGCCTATCAGCCATTGGCAAATAAGCAAATCGGCAATTAGCAAATAAGCAATTCAGCAAGTGGCAAATAAGCAAATTGGCATGTCCCTACCGGCATTCCATATTTATCAAAACATTATTAAATGCAAAAAAAAGGGGCGGGGCGTATTTGACACGTTATCTAGTATTCCTACAGTCAAACTGTTGGAAAAAACATCATCCCTCCAAATATTCTTTTGACAAGTCCAACAAATTCGCAAAAGTAATAAGAAAATAAAAACTAATTTTCTTCCTAAGTTTTTCATTCAGTTTTATTATCTTTATTATCATTTACTCAAACATTCCATCAACAGTTAAAACAATTATCCATCAAGAATACTGTAAAGTCAGTAAACAAACACGTATATATTATATATTCAAAATATTTTACCTGGAAAGTAAGGCAAAATAAACTTGTACATATATCAGCGTTCTACAAACTATCATTATAATATCATTGGAATCACTGCACCAGTCATTTGGGAACCCTATACATTTAGGGCCCTATTAATTCTATCTACATGTACAGGGAACTGAGCTCGAGGCACTCAGGTTGGGAATTTTCACCTCATTTTTGAAAAAAGGGGGAAGGTAAAATAGATCTAATACATATAATTTATTTTGAAAAAAAAAAAAAAAAACCAAACCAAAACATTAGGATATTGTTGAGGGCAGTTCAAAAATAAGTTTTTGTAGGAGATTTAAAAAAAAACTTTTAAGGGGTGGGGATAGGGGTATGCTAAATGGGATGAAGTTTGTGATATGAAGGCTCTGTCATCACGCCAATCTTAAACCAGATGAGTACAGGATAAATCAGCCGTTGTATTTCCACACTATTCAAGCAAATTGATCTTGGGTTCGAGACGTATATGGGTCATGACCACATTTCCAAATATTACACCAGTACTGGTTAGTTACAGGAAGCAAACTTAAAAGTAGTACAAATCAGCTTCCAACATTTATCACAATTAAGCTAAATATACCAATGTACATATTTTTTAACTAAATGAAGTACCACTGGGCGAACAGGAAGGTTTTGTTTTACTGCCAAATAAAGGTGAGGTATAATGCACTGGCAAGAGCTAATTAGAGAAGGCAATATGAAAACTAAGCAAGAAGGCAATTTGACAACTTAAGCAGGGAAAGCAATTTGACAAGCACTGTACCACTTGGCACAGGGAGTCATAATTTGGTTAAGGATCCGCTGGTCTTAGTCAAAGTCCCTGTAGATGAGATAGATAGGACGAGGCTGTCAATGACTGGTGCATGTAAACAAACATTGAAATCTTTCGGATATATCCCTTTCAAATATAAATAAGACAAGGACTTTGCTGTTTCCCTTGAAGAGATAAAGTAAAATCACTTTTGAACATGTTTACATATAAAATTAAATAACTATTGTACATGGCAGCAAATGGCAAAGTTTTTATTGCTAACTTATTTCATATATAGTCCTAAACTTGTCAACTCTGTTGTATAAGGAAGTCCTTATATCTCTCATCTAAAGAATCTTCCATGATGGATATACTCTGGAAATAACAATAAAACTTGAAAAATGTGTTGCTAGGTTAATCTCTTTTAAGTTAGTAATATAGACATATAAATATTTATATACATTTTCATAGACATAGCCTTATTTTCATCATATTTTTATGATAATAAAGCTACATATAGACAAATCAGAATAATAAGCATCAATGAAATTTGAGTAATGCTAATTCTTTGGTAATGGTGGTAACCTCCCTCCTCAAATAGCATTTAGTACAGTCAGATCATACTGCCATAATTTCAAAGCAGTGCTTAATTCCAAAATTCACTTATGGAGCTTAAATGTACACAAAACTGCCTGAAATAAGGACTCCGTCCATCATTCCAATGAGATAAACATTAGACCAAAGTTAAATAAACATCCTTCACATGGTTTGAAAGAGAGCAGACAGTAAATTGTTAAAGCGCAGGGCTAAAAGCTTTAGTGCCAATACAAAATTTCCAAGCCTACACTTGTGACCCTTTTAGACCCTCTGACTTTGAATCAGGGCACTCGAAGTGTGGCCACTACTCCTCTCAAAACAATGAATATTTTACTCAAGTATTATATATATGCCCCATTGTTCAAGCCTTCAAATGTGAGACTCACATAGTGACCTTGACTTGGAGGCATGGCATCTGAAATGTGGGTTTTGCTTTGTTTTGTTTGGTTTTACGGCACACAAACACAATTTAGGTCATATGGTGCCATCACAAGAAGGGTGATTTTGGCTAACTGTGTGAAACTAATTTGCTGGCTAAAATGATTTACCTTGAACTTTTATCTTGACCTTGAATAGAGGAGTTCTGAGTTTTGTGTCAATGAGATTACCATTTCATGCAACTATCATTAAAATCCCTCAAGAAGTTCAAAAGATGTAGAATTGACACAAAAAATACCTGGCGCTAATCTTTCCCATTTAACTGTGATCTTGACCAATAAATGAGGCAATCTGGTTTCTACATGCTGTCTCAACGAAATAAACATTTGACCTAACTATCATGAAATTCTTTAAGAAGGATCAAAAGATATGTAAAGAAGACACACAACATTTTTTAAAGCTGAGACAGAAAGACAGACAAATGTATAAATATGTCCTAATATTACATACACAATATATAAGAAACAAACAACGAGACATGTTATAATTATGTTCCTTACCCTTTTAACCCCTGAGTGAAGAAAACTTTCAGCAAACATTTCTATTACTCTTCCGAAAGGCCCTATTCCATGAACATCTATACTTCCATGTTGCTCAAATATTGTCCTAAAATAATGACCATAACAATCATATCTAAACTTACATTTACTGAAATGATTATTTACTGTATATTAATTACTTGATATTACAGAACACTGAAGCCTATTACTGATCTTTGGACTTTTCTTTTAAAAAAAGTGACAATGAAAAAAAGACCCAAAGGAAATAATTCGGACACAAAATAGGAAACAAACTCGACACACTTGAGGACTGACATTTTTATCAGTTACATGTACTTATTTCTATAATGTAGTTTCAGAAGATAAATGCACAGAAAAATTAGTAAATGGTAGTTTTAGCCAAAAAGATGACAGACAATTAAAATAACTATGAAACGTGTGAACCAGAGTGACAACATTTTGCCTTGATGTTGCCGACCTTTTATCAGTTTTCACACTTTGACTAAATGAGATGAAAATATGTACGACCTTAATTGAAGAGACCAAACTTTCATTTCGATTAAACAGGAGTCTGAATAATGGGTCAAAATTCGACCTAAGCAGAGTTAAAGTACAAAGATAAAGAAGAAAATTTCATGGGACTTTAGAAATTCTTCGAGTAAAGCGGAATTTTGAGTAAGGTGATTTTGAATTATTGAGAGACAAAAGTACATGTATACTGAAACAGAAAAGAAACTTTCTCCAAGTTTGAATGTAGATATATTGGAACAGTTTTTGAATCCTTTTGAAACTCGATTTTTATGTTGAATAAACATATCGGGCTTTTATATGGGGATTAGCTGACCGATTTTGCAAACAAAACGAGTTTTACAAGCTACTACATGTATATAAGAGTGTACATCTAAGTGGTACCCTTGAACAACTGGCACATACTTTGCGAAAGTTTATTTTTTTGGTTCAGTATATATATATAAAAACTGTTCACAAACCATGCTGGATTTTCGTCATGACTCCTAAATACAGATTTCTCCCAAAGGTTTGCATATTTACACCAAGTCAGATTACGGCTCTTCAAATGTAACTGTTTTCTTCTGACATTGAACCATGATTCCTCCTCTAGAAGTATAGCCTTCTCATTTAAAACTCCTATCTGAAAGGTTTAACACTATTAGATCAGCAAAGCAAAACTATGTCATAAATGTAGCAAACTTATTAGGGTATATGCTTTACTAAGGAAAACATTTTACATTTCATTTCAATTAATAAAATTTTATAATTTTGTTACTAAAAAAAAAGGCATTTTATAATAAGTTTTTTTTTGTAATAGTTTGAAGTAATAAATCCCATTGGTCATTTTATAAGTCTTATTCGATAATTATGACAAACCATAAAGCCAATATGCTTTGGATATATGATATACACCCCTGACTATGCTAGTACAATGTAGTAAAAGACAAGCTTTCAACATTTGCATAGAGTCTTTGTGAAGGGAATAAAGCTATGTCTTTAAAATATTTTTAAAAAGTTTGATCAACACTAAAAAAATTTTTCCATACTTTTATGGTTGATTCTGGAAAGCTTGTACATAAAATGCCTCTGTTTTTATAATGAATAACATATGTAAAACAAAATATCACATACACTGCTGTTGCTAAGCATACCAAATTTGCTTTCAATGCAATAATATACCACCATATTTCTTTCATACAAGCATTTTGGAAGTTAGTATTCTTTTTTAAGTTCAAACAATAATCTTTGCAACTGATATATAGATTTATACACATGACGACAATTATCAATAAACTTTTCACAATTTTGTTTTTTTGTTAATTATTTTTTTCATGAACTCACCTTGCGAAGTATTTTTGGTATAACATTTTCACAGATTGCAATACTTTTTCTGTAGTTAATGCCATCAGAATCTTACATGAAAAGCAAAATAAAAAAATAAATGATAAATCTCTTCTAAAAGACTAAATCAAAATCTAAATTTGAGGGTAACGTTCATATATGTCATATAAATGCACTCATTAGAATTTATAACAAAAAATTAAATGAAACACAAAATGAAACTTAATCAAGTTCTTTGTAAAATTCTTGTTAATCTGACCTCAAATAAAGTTGTGTACTGGGTAATACTATATTTTTTCCTCGATCAAGTTTTCAATTTTGAAGCTCCAAAGATTGATACTTAGTTACCTGTTTTCTCTTCAATGACATCTATTCTTTTGACAAATTTTTCTTTCTCTGTGGGATACTGTAAAATAAATCATAAAATATAACTACATGTACATATAAATTGTATTGTAACAAAAATTATATTTCTATGACTTTTGGATACAAACAATCACTAACACAAGTATGTATTCTTAATAACTTTGTAATAAAGTTAATAAATTATATACCCAAGGATATCTATATCCTTAATTTTATATCTTAAATCACATTCAATCTAAAATGCCTTATTAAAAGATTGGGAGGAGGGAACAAGACATCAAAACACCAGGTTGGCTTATGTTTTAATATAACTTTTATTAACTACCAGTTTGGAGTACTTCAGGTTTTTGTAAAAAATGACAAAGATATTCTCTGGGGCACATCATAGACTGTCATCCATCGGTAAACAGCTTTTTACATACACTTTTAGCAACATTTGACATTTTGACGGAATGGTTCATTTTGCTAATTGAGAGACTCCACACGAATCAGAGAATTACAAAATATATTTTTCATTTGACATAATTTCTTGCAAGTCTTAATCAGTACATATATGGCACAAAATCACAATTATTTTTCACCCCCACATGACAAGGGATACAGGGATACAAGGGTTACAATGGGATACAATGAATTTCCATCAACAGGGGTGAAAAAGAATTGTGTTTTTAGGACATATTTAACAGTTTAAATCAGCTGATCAGCAACTTTCACCATATAGGAATGCTCTTCCACTGACTTAAATAAAAATGCTCAACAGGTTGCATCTTTGAAACCAGTCCTCTCTTTCTAAAAATTTGAAAGACCCAAGTTTGTTTAACTAACATGTCAACATGTAAAATATTGATCATCATAAAGTTCATTTGTACACTACATTTTTAAATCATCTTAACTACAGAGTAGTACAAACTTTAGTGAAATGCGTGTGTGCAACAAGCTCCAGAGGATATTTATATACATGTTGAATATCTATTGTCACAACCATAATCCTTTCTAACTTACAGTTACATAATCTAACTCGGCCTCCCCTTTCACCAGGCGCTCTTTAAGAACAGTGTGTAAATGCGTTTTATTTACTCATGATTAAAATTTGCCCCAAAATTGTTTTTCAAATTAGAGAAAAGCTTTGACTGGTTCTCTTTTATTTTATTATACACAGACGTAGCTGGAAAGTTCATTTGCGAACCGCTCTACAAAAATCCAAAATGGAGTCATTGCGAATTTTCAGAAACAAATAGACTAACAAAAAGATCCTGTTATGTCTAATGAGTAGTTACTGTACGTGTTCACATATTTTTTATATTTGAAAAAAAAAAGTAGAGGTAGATTCTATTGTTATAGTCGTCGCGGCGGCGTTGCCGTTGCCGTCCGCAAACTTGTACCTGGAACATAACTTTTTTATTTCTTGGTGTATTGTCTTCATACTTGGCCACAACAACCCTTGGGTAGACCGCACTTACCTTGACCTTCATCCATAAATGACCTTGACCTTCAATGTTAAAAGTCCAAATTTTGCTTGTTCATGCTGTTATTGGCTGTAACTTTGTTATTTTTGAATGGATTGTCTTTAAACTTGAACATAATAATCTTCAAGGATATCCCTAAAAAATAACCTGACAGACCTTGACCTTCACTCATAAATGACATTGAATTTGAAGGTCAAATTATTGAAATTTTCATGTTTTTGGCTATTATTGGCTGTAACTTTGTTATTTTTGAATGGATTGTCACCACGTGACTCCACCACGTGACTTCACCACGTGACTCCACCATGTGACTCTACCAAGTGTCTCTACCACGTGACTTCCACGTGACACCACCACGTGACACCACCATGTGACTCCACCACTTGACTCCACCACGTGACTCCACCACGTGACTCCTACACATGACACCACCACATGACTGCACCACGTGACTGCACCACGTGACTCCACCACGTGACACCACCACATGACACCACCATGTGACTTCGAATTGCGTGTCTCTATTTATATATATATATGAATTAGTAAATTTATATATATAAAATATATAGACTAAACTAATTTGACAAGATAGAATGATTAATTTTATAAAAAGGAAACGTTAATATTTTGTTCAAACATTTCTTTGTTTGCTTTTAGAGAAAGTAAAAAGTCGAGTTGCCCACGCCCGGCGGTGGCTCTTGTTACAGACTACATTTCATTTCTGTATTTACTACACATTTTTTATTTCCACTGATTTCGACCGTTGCGGCAGTAAAGTTTTAGAACAGACTTGTTATATGAAACCATACCAGAATCACCTGATAATGTCGCAATGTGGCCCCCCCCCCCCCCCAAGTCCCTGGGAATGCCAGACGTTTCACTCCAAAGGCAAAGACAGTTCACACCTAGATGTTTCACTAGCAGTTGATGCAAATAAAAGCATATATCGTGCCTTGAGGATACCTATTTGTAAAAAATATGAGAGGGTGCCTGTGATATAAAAATTCAAATGAAGAGAGGTAGCCCGTGCCGCTGCAAAACCGAAAGTAGTTTGTTTTTATGAATTTTACAATTATTTTTGACGATATACTGCCATTTGTCCGGAGATGATATGTAAATGAACATACTAAATATGTATGATGCATATATAATCAAGCCACAGGTTCATTTCAGCCCGAAAAATATGTCGAGGTGATGGGCGAGGCAAGACATGTCGATTTTTTAATTTTTGTAGCTTATTGTGAAGTTGTAGTACATGAAAAACGGGCACATGACAAAATTTAATCAGCACATAGATAAAACATTCTACTGTTCCGTGGTATATATCTTTTCTACGTGTCATACCTTCTTTCCTTATTATATCTAAATTTTATTGGATTGTTATCCATCGCTGGTTTGTTTTTAGCAGAGAGTGGCCTGTGCATGCGCAAAGAGGGTACCATTTCAGCAGATTTCGCAAAGAGGGTACCGATATGGATATGCACTGTGCAGAAGCAAAAATATCTCAAAGCGATGTTATATTTATAGGACACCTTGGAATCTAGCTTTGGCTCGTTGATATATTTTGACTACACATTCTGTCATTTGTCTGTAAAAATTTTAAAATGATAACAAAATTTAAGTTGAAGCCTGTAGGTTATCATCATTATCAAATTATCAAGGAGTTAGAATAGAAGGGCCACAATATACTTTTTATTTAGTATTTAGCTGTTTAGGGGCCTCAGCCTTTTTCTTGAGGCAAACAAGCACAAGTTTCGCTTATTTGAGGAAACCAAGCTAGGAAAAAAAGGAATAGATTAATTAAAATAAGTGTTATTAAAGTGGCCATCGGCTTTTTTAAGGTTAAATATATGTATTTACAATATAGATAAATCCTTTCATTTAATTGTCATATCAAAAGAATTTAGGTGGAAACTAAAATTTAATGAGTGACAATAAAATACATAAACAATAAGAAACCCCTTCATATCTCTAATCTACTGGTCTCCTCTTTATTTTGAATGACCGGTATCTAGAACTTTAGAATTAGGGCTTGTCTGTCATTTAACAGAAGCACACATTCCAGAAAATAGCATTGTGTCTAGTATTAACAATGGATTGTTCCAAATTAATACCTGGGCAAGTCCATTAGTACAATTAGTACTGTATATTTTTATTTTTCATTTCAGCCAAAATTTAAAGATGGCTTCAGTTTTAAACACAGATAAAGTGGAAGTGAATGATGAAGAAAAATTGAATCTTGAACATTTTTTAATAAAAAAACAGCAGCCTGATCCCACAAGAGATAAAATAATACAGAACTCTAAAGAAAAATACAGTCAGAGTAGACAGAATTCTGCTGATGCAAGTAATCTCAGTAGGAGTCAGAAAGAACGCAAGCTTGATGATTTCCTTAAAAATAAGCGGAGAAGAAGAAGGGGGAAGAAGAGATTAACTATTTCTGATGTAAGGGCAGAGGCAGCAAAAATTTTAGAAGAATTTTTACAGGAGCAACTTGCTCAACAGGCAATACAAACAAGTTCACCAGAATATCAGAGAATAGTTGAGCTGAGTGTTTTTGAGACAACAACTCCAAGTGGGGAAAGTTCTAGTTGTCTAGCATCAAGTTGCAACATTTTACGGGAAGATTCAATACCATATGCTGATGAAAGCGATAACGAATTAAGAAAAGCAGAAAGTCTGCCTCATGAAAACTTTGTTGAATTACAGGGTTTTGGTGGTAAAGAAGTTCCAGCAGGATTAAAAATTCATCATGAGAAATCTAAATCTGCCCCCTATAGTGAGCCTGACAATGAATGGCGCCAGAGTCCTAGTACGAGGTTACCTGGCACAGTTCAACCAACTCCGTCTGCTCCGCCAGGTACGCCTCATACACCATCTGAAAATAGTTCCAATGGAAGTGGGTCATTGTCACATCCAGTGCCTTACACTGGGAAACCAAACGATTCCAGTATCCCTTGCTCAAGTGATTCTTTAGATACAAATAATAGTCTTGGAAAACCACATTCCAGACCGAAAAGGTCTATCCCTGAAGTAGCACCACACACATTGAATCTTTCTGGTCTATCTGAACCTCAGAGTCGATCTACAACATCAGTAAATGATGATGATGACGATAAAACAAGCAGTACATCTCCAACAAAATATACATACACAAAATCACCACATAGAGTAAAGAAATCAGGATCGGTATCCTCCAGTGATACAGACAGCACTGATCAACAGATGCATGGAAGAAAGAAGAAATCTATGTTTAAAAAGGCTCAACACAGAATGCAAAATTTCTTTAGAAATAAAAAACAGAAAGCACATGATGGTGATGATGAGATGGATAATCATAATGATGAAAGTCCGAGAGGGAGTTTAAATGAAAAAACGACAAGACCTAAGAAATATTCTAAAAAGCATGATAAAGGAAATTATGATACCGCCGATATGGTGGATATGGCTGACAACTACGTACCTCAAGGTAATGAGACAGTCCTAGAAGAGAGACATATCCATAGAAATAAACATATACATCAAACACATAGTGGCAGTGACAGAAAAACTGTTCTACGTAGCGAAGTGTCCGAGGAGACTATAGATGTTGTTGACAAGAAAGAGAAAAAACATACAGAGAAAAAATGGAAGATGAAAGAAAGCTCAGGGCAAGATACGGGTCTATTCGGAAAGCTTAAACGCCTTACTCTCCGTGATAAAAGAAAACGCAGCATGAAAGGTAAAATCTTAGTTAAAATTTTAAAGCTCAGATTTGAAAATTTAATGAAAAAGGAAATAATGAAATAGAGTACACAAAAAAAAACAATTATAATTTTTTTTTCTAATAAATAGAACAATTTCCCTTACTGTTTAAAGTTTTAAACCTTAAAAGATTAGAAGTGATACTAAATTGTTTGAAGTAATGACAATCTTAAACTAAAAGGGTAATTTTTTTATAGAAAGATAATTTTAATTGTGAAAAAGTATTTTTAGCATAATTGTGCTGAAATGATTGAATAATAGCTCTGGCATGTTTCCTTTTAAATGGCATAAAGAGAGTGCTGCTATTGAAATTCTTACTACCCTGCTTCCACCTACGGGTTATCATGGATTATGGGAAGGCAAGCCTTATTGAAAGTTTCCTGTAATGTTGATGTTTATTTTATTTATTAAATTGCAGTAGTATTGAACTTAACCTTACATGTACTTTACAGAAAGCTCTTTGGCATGCTATTTTAATGAAACATTCTAAGTTCCCTTTGAAAATTTTACAGAATCAAAATCTGATAATTTTGGACAAGACGCGGCAGACAGTGGATATTACTCACGGACACTATCGGTACCCGGCAGCGCTCGCCCATTTAGACCTAACCAGTTGGGATTGGATGAAACAGACGATGCGGGCTTGACAATGTATCCAAACGGTCGAGGATTTGCCTTTTCCAACTTTGAGAGAGAAGAGAGGCGACCTGGCGTGACGTATACAAGAGCAAGTCAGGTAAGATGTTACGATACATACATGTATTTAGTATTGTGAGTGAATAAGTAAATTTTTTTGTAGCATTATAATCTTCAGAAAATAAATGAGATTTAAATAAAAACAACATGGTTTCTTTTGTTGATGCAGATGTTACCATGTATTGGAAGGAATGAAGGATAGTCTTATTGTTAAATGAAGCCTACATTTAAGTTATGGGCGTTTTGTTTATTTAGATAAAGATATTTTTAAACAAGACTTAAAATGGCTTTATGATTTAAATACATCAAAATATTGACAGACACATTGTGAAACAAAATTTGCAAAAATGAAAAAATGAGATTACTTTTAAATATCATTTAAATAAATTTTGTAAATAAAAAAAGAGAATGATTAGTTATCCTTTAATTGTTAAGCTTAATATTTGTCAGGATTTTGTAAAGCTACAAAAGTGTAGAATATTTTATATATCTTCTGTAATTTAAGGATCAGACTTCAGATCTGGTAATTTTATTAAAGCAGCACACCTCCCAGATGTGTATCAATTTTTTTATGAAAAATGTAAATTGTTCAAATGAGTAAATATGCTGTGAAGTGTACAAAATAAGTCATTTGATATATGTTTATGGTTAGGCAACAAAATTATTGTAACTAGTTGAAATATGCACAAACTTCACATACTTCATCTGGTAATAGTAGTAAAGCATAGAATTGTAATAGTGATAAAAAAGTAATTTCTCTCATATTGTGTATGAAACATTCAAATTTTCACCAGCATTTAGACTGTTTATACATTTGTTAACTATAAATAAGTTTAATTTTTTGAAGGTACATGTATATTATTACTCATCTGGAGGTGTACACCTTTAAAGCATAAGTCTGATATGTGTGCTGTTAAATGCATGTATTAAAGTTATTAGTTCAAACTAGAACTTTTCTGCCATGGTACTTTGTTCAGTTACATGTTCTTCTTACCACTGGAAAAAGCTGAAATATTTAATTTTCTTTTATGCTTTCCTCTCCCTGACTTAACTTGATAGCCTCATCTTGCATCAAATTTTCCACTTTGTATTATTCTGTTCAAACTTTTTTTAGCTCATACCTTGTTGAATATGTGCAGTATAATGGACTTTCCTTGAAACAAAGATTTAACAATTTATCACCTCTTGCGTTAAAATGCGTTAATCAGTTTGCAACGGGGTTCACTCCATATATGCTACATCTAAATCAACAGTTGCATGTAGAATTAATGCTTCATGAGACCCTATTATTGAACATTCTTTAAAAAATGCTTTCCCTGGAATCTTTTTGAAAACTTTATTTTAGTTAAAGGTCGTAAATATGGCATGGGGTCTTTTTTTTTAAATACATATACAGATTATTAAAAATGTAGATCTACAGTACGTTTTGAAACTTTTATCATTGGCATAAATTAATATTCAATGACTTTAAATGAAGAATCTTTATTAATTTAGTATAATTGTAATGTTTTACACATTGTTTTCTCATCTATACAAAATATATAGCTTTTAGAGTTCCACTCTTTATAATTTTGGGATAAGGGACTTAATGAATATTGCCAAAAATTTTTATCATTATAAATATTTAGTCATGCCATTTTGTGATTGAGCGTGTTACATAAGGGAATGGGGACTGCAGTATTGTATGGAAAAGTTAAAATAAAATTCTGCATTTCGATATGATGCTGTCGACAAATGTAATATTCTTTATTCCATCCCTGCTCTAAGAATGATAGTTTTTACAGGTCTTTGATTTGAATTTTTACAAACCCAGGTTATATGTAGAGAGGAAGGTGATGAAAAAGACATAAAACGTCATTCCAGCCATCTTGATATAGTGGATTACAGCGGTAACATGATTGAGAGGCTATACTTTGATGCAGACGGCAATGAATTGCCGAAGAACAAGTCATTTAGTTACCTACAGGAGGAGGACGTACGAGAGCGAGTCATAGATGATCATGGTCGTAGAAGAGTTGTACGAGATGTTAAACACCATGAGCACATGGAAATGGCAGAATCTGATGGAGGTATTATGGGATTTAGGTGTTAAAACTTTGTGATAAGTGTCAGAATTGTTATATTTAGTGACAGATTTTTACCCGAGTGGGATTTAACCCAGTCAAGGGCTTGCCATTGTGTTTTTTAAGCAAGAAACTTGACATTGATTGGTTAGTAATGGTTGGTTCTAGGAACAAATTTATCAATGAATGTGTGTCTTATAGCATCCCACACAATGAATAAAATACATGCTTAATATCTGCAGGGTCTCAATGAGATATTTTACTGGTAGTTTCCTATATACTCATTATTGTATACAAACATGAAAAACAATCGCAGAAATAAAAATAAAGATAAATATTCAAACTTACATAAACATTTAGTAAAGGGTATTAAGTTATATCTAATAAAATATTTTTTTATGAAATTTATTAACACTATAATTATGTTGTTTCCATAATCTTACGGTTGATTCTGAATAGAGTTGTAGCATAGAATATCACTGTTATTTAACACTCATGAACATTGCATGTGAACAGAATAAACAAAATAATATTATGCTGCTATTGTAAGTAGGGTTTTAACTCTTTATCAATGATTTCATGCATGTGCCATTTGCTTCTAAGGTATTACATAAGCATATCTCTTTCATACTTTTTTTTCTAAAATTCAAACAATAATTTGTTAACTGCAGGCATCAGATATATAGCTGGAAAGCTGTTTGGTAAGCTCAATAGGTAGCGTGTTGGACTGTGATTCGGATGACCCGGGTTTGATTCCTGGATTGTTGTGATTGACTGAAATCCTTTTAATGGTCATTCGCACTGTACCTCTGCTCTGGCATGTACAGAAGTTATCAGTTCCTTTGGAAAGTGAAGGCAACTAGTACTGGTAAACTGCTTGACAGCCTGCCCAGGAATGATGTGGTGGCGGAACTGAGCTCTGGTAAATTCATTGTGGTTTACTGCTGTGATTCGGAGTAAAAGCTACCAACACCACCACCATTGCAATAGGCTGGACACATGATGATATTTGAAAATATTTTGAAAAACATTACAGTCAGAAAACCAGTCCGGTTTCTTAGTCAATGTATGATTACAGGTTGCAATGATAATTCTGATGTAACTCTTTACTGTTTATATTTGCAGAAGATAAAAAAGACTTGGAAGACATGACTGAAGCAGAAAAGGATGAATTATATGGTAAAATAGCAAGTAGACTGGCAACTATTGGAGACAATTTAATGTCTGAAAGAGAGGACCAGTCCAGAAGTGCATCTGCTAGTCCAAGATCTAAACTGACTGATGATCAGAAATCTAGTCCTGAACAAGAAGGTAAAAGTTTAAGAGAAATCTTGATCTATTTTATAAAAATATATGTGTATATAAAATTATGTATACTGACCTTTTTTACTGTCAACTTCAGATGACCTTTTACCACAGTTGACTGCAGCTGATCTTTTACCACTAAAACCTTATACTGATCTTTTACCACTGTTGCCTTCAGTTGACCTTTTACCACTGTTGCCTTCAGCTGACCTTTTACCACTGATGCCGTCAGTTGACCTTTTACCACTGTTGCCTTCAGCTGACATTTTACCACTGTTGCCGTCAGTTGACCTTTTACCACTGTTGCCTTCAGTTGACCTTTTACCACTGTTGCCTTCAGCTGACCTTTTACCACTGTTGCCTTCAGTTGACCTTTTACCACTGTTTCCGTCAGTTGACCTTTTACCACTGTTGCCTTCAGCTGACCTTTTACCACTGTTGCCTTCAGCTGACCTTTTACCACTGTTGCCTTCAGCTGACCGTTTATCATTGTCATCTTCAGCTGACCTTTTATCACTGTCACCTTCAGCTCACCTTTTACCACTGATAATATTGGTTTTGGTCTGATGGTCACAAAACTTTAACCTTGACCATAACATGGAAGTCCTTCCACCACCAGCCTTCAAACTTCACAGGTGCATGCACCTTGATGAGCTGTACCTGCTAGACCCACTTAAATGGCATGGTGTCAAAGGTCAATGTGTTTCCCCTGGGGCATAGTATTCTTTCAAATGTAACACTTGTTTTTTATTGCAAAGATTCCTTTTCATCATAAAAATACGTATTTGTAGTTACATATCAATATCAAAATATTGTTTAAAAAGTGAATATCATGATACTTGTTTAATTACAGAGTTTACAAAAACCACACTTACACCATTAGAGATAGAGTTGAGAGATGAGTTAAGAAAAGTTGCTGATGATATGGATGCAATGGTAAGTTTTGAGTGGACCTAGCATGTCTTAACAGACTAGTATCAATATTTTATGCATTGCTCTTGTTGAAACATGATTTTGTACACCCAAATGTTTGACATACTTTACAAATAAAAGTACAAAATAAATGTATGTATTTTTAGAAAATATTTTTGCTTTAGAAAAGTCATCAGCATGTCATTCAATTATCTTTAATCAATTTGATCATATTATTTTTATCTGAATATAAAGTATTAAAACATATAGAGGAGTCAACAAGATTCAGCATACAACATGAATATAAAGTAGTTAAAGTTAGTTTATTTTTGTTATGCAACTATTCTTTTAATGTACAATGAGTACATGTACATGTACTATATTATCATTTGTTTAGTTAAATCATGTGTAAAGTCTGATCATCAATAAAATGGGCTATAATTGATTTTGTTGAAGTGATGCGGTCAGTAGATATTACTGTTATAATTTATTGTTTCAACAGAAAATTATACAATTTACAAAAAAAAAATTTAAGGGTATATAAATCTTTTGCCCTTGTTTAATGATGTTGGATAAGTTAAAATCACAGATTAGTATTTATTATTATGAAGAAGATAGTTTAACTTTTTAATGAATGACATTTCAGTTGGAAGCAAATGCCAAAAAAGCAGCTCTCCATATTTCTGGTATAGTCACATATAACCATTTCAAGAATATAGTGCAGGAGTCAGTAGGCAAGGAACAGGGCTGGGCTCAGGTAGCTGCAGTGTTTCAGATAACCAAACGAGCGATGCGACTGGCTGGCCAGAGCGGAGCTATGGCATTACAGATAAAGGAAATGAGTTTGAAATATATAGAGGATACATTTGCCAACTGGATTGTTGGGCAAGGTGGTTGGGTAGGTATTATGTAGATAATTGTAATTGGAACTTGTATGCCTATAAAGAATATACTGCAGATATTCTAAGATAATAACTACAGTGAAATTTGGGAAAACCGGACGCTGAGAAAATCGGAACTCTCTAAAAACCGGACGAATAATTCAGTCCCAAATTTTCCCTTCTTTAAACTATTGTATTGAACATTGACAATACCGGAATCTGTAAAAACCGAATACCGGACGGTTAATTGGGGACTACAAAGTCAATTATATAGACAATTACCCTGACAATACCGGACGCCGAATGTGTGAAAAACCTTGTGTACTTATCAATTGGTTGTGTCTAATACGCTAACTGAGCGGTAACGGAACAATAATTGTCTGATTTGTTTATACTGTCTCTTTTCACAGTTTGATTTATTGTAAGGTATAGATGTTACCGTTTTATATAAATGCCAAAATGCACGAGATATTGATCAGTTAAAATCAGTATGAATAAAAAATAGAGTATTTTTCTATTGTGTTTCGCAACGGAAACGAAATTTATCGGCGCTTAGTTCTATTCCATGGCCGAAAATTATTCGACGAGAGTTGTCTACATGTGACAAAGTTAAATTAATTAAAGACAGTGAAACTTTGCCGAAACCTACTTTAAAAATCTGACCAATATGTTATTATTATAAACAAACAAAGTAAACTAAATTCGTTAAATCATTACCCATTACCCAAATGTCAACATATGCGGATGTGCTCAGACTTGATCGTTATGATGTAACTGCTGTTCATTTTTATCCAAACTTTTATGTCTTTATATGCAATAATGGGACAAAAACAATTAAAACATATTTTATATTTTTTTTTGTATTCTTATCATTTCTTTATTTAGCAATATACGTACACATTATCTTGAAATGCAAATATACAGCATCCTTAGTAACTCATTGCTCGGTTATAATAATTATAAGATGCTGAACAGCTGAAGGGGACATTGAGAATACCGGACCGCTGAGAAAACCGGACAAAACCCTCAGTCCGAAAGCCGTCTGGTTTTCTCAACTTTCACTGTACATGTATTTAAAGGTAAAACAATATCTGCATAATCAAATCGTCACTAGGCCCAATAGCTCTATGATAAACTTAATGTAACATTTTTATTGTAAATTTTCATTCTTTTGATATAATTTGAAGCTGTTATGTCTAGTTGCTTCTGTGTTACAAATCTGGTTTACAAGTTAAAATAAAACTGCTGTAGGCAAAACTTCTTGGGTATTAAAATTTCAATAGTTCTATATTTACTGAACTTGATGCATCTTAAAGAGTAAATTGTGTAAGATCTAGTGTAAGACCAAGACAGCTAAGGTAAGGTACAAGTTTTGTGGTTTCTCTTATCATTGGTCAACATGTCAGAAATACTAGGCATTTAATCTTTGTGACCTGATATTCTATACTTTAAACTTTAATACTATCAAATTTTAAAAATGATGTTTATATGTGTATGATAAACAAATATATGTCTTATTTATTGATATTTTCAGGAGAGTATGCTGTCAGATGCTGATTCAGATACAGAATCTGAGCTTGACTGAAAGCCTGGTACAAACCAAATTTGACTGAAAACCTGGTACCAACCAAATTTGACTGAAAACCTGGTACCAACCAAACTTGACTGCAACCCTGTTACCAACCGAGCTTGACTAAATACCTGGTACCTATCAATCTTGACTAAAAACTTGGTACTAACCGAGCTTGTTTGAAAACCTCGTACCAACCAAACGTGACTGATAACCTGGTACCAACCAAACTTGACCGAAAACCTGGCAACACCCAAGCTTGATTTCTTACCTGGTACCAGTCAATCTTACCAAAAAAAGAAACAACTGTTAAAAATGGAAGTTTTCGTAAGTTGAAACCAACTGACCTCTTCCATTTGTTGATTCAGTCTGGCCTCCTCCAGTGGTTTATTCCATCTACCCTGCAGTGGTTGAGTCTGTTTGACTCAAGTGTCATCTGCATTAAATGCAAGTTAACATTGTGCCTCATATTTGCTGTGATGTACATTTTATTGTTGTCAGAAGATCTCAGAGTTACTTCAAAGGTGACGTTAGACCATACAAACATTGTGTAACTGTTGTGAACAAGTAATTAGAAAATTTAGGTGATATTTCATAATTCGCTAGAGATACTGTTTGCTCGATGTAAGAGGTGACATTATTTGAATTTTCAAGGCTAAAAGATTTAAGGGATGTAATGATATGTAGAATTATATAATATTTGCTAGTAATATATTCATATTATTAGCTTGTCTGTTTTGAAGAAAAGAGGGAGCTATTGTGACAGCTGCGTCTTCGTTGTTGTCGTGCAAAATTCTTTATGTAGTCCATTTCTCAAACAATTTTAAAGGTATCAATACGAAACTTTGAAATACTTGCTGACTGTGACAAGAGGCAGTTGTAAGACAAGGGGTATAATTTTAAAAGCTATATTTTTGGAGTAATCCCCCTTTTTTAAACTTTCTTGGAAATTTTGTCTAAAGTGGTAAGACGAGCATTAACACTGCATGCAGTGCTCTTTTACTTTGGAATTTAGGCTTCATTATATATATAAGACTTGTGTATTTTTGTGTGAACCCAGTGATGAATAATGAAAATTCCAAAAATGTAAATTATTGTATCATGTGAATAAGACACTGCAAACTTTAAGCCAGCTGTCAGCAGCAAATGTTACAAATGTTACCCATGTAATCAGTGCAAACAAAGATCAGCCAGGCCCAGTGTATTTCTACAGCCCGATCATGGTCTGCACTGTATGCTTCTCAGTCTGTTCTTATTTTGAAATTTTCCCTGAAAATGGTGAATGTTTTTTTCCAAATTAAATGCTAGACAAGTCCACTTAAGATATTTTGCTTCCAAATTGAAAGATAAACAAGTCCACTTAAGATATTTAGCTTCCAAATTGAAAGATAGACAAGTCCACTAAAGATATTTAGCTTCCAAATTGAAAGATAGACAAGTCCACTTAAGATATTTTGCTTCCAAATTGAAAGATAAACAAGTCCACTTAAGATATTTTGCTTCCAAATTGAAAGATAGACAAGTCCACTTAAGATATTTAGCTTCCAAATTGAAAGATAGAAAAGTCCACTAAAGATATTTAGCTTCCAAATTGAAAGGTAGACAAGTCCACTTAAGATATTTAGCTTCCAAATTGAAAGATAGAAAAGTCCACTAAAGATATTTAGCTTCCAAATTGAAAGGTAGACAAGTCCACTTAAGATATTTAGCTTCCAAATTGAAAGATAGAAAAGTCCACTAAAGATATTTAGCTTCCAAATTGAAAGATAGACAAGTCCACTAAAGATATTTAGCTTCCAAATTGAAAGGTAGACAAGTCCACTTAAGATATTTAGCTTCCAAATTGAAAGATAGAAAAGTCCACTAAAGATATTTAGCTTCCAAATTGAAAGGTAGACAAGTCCACTTAAGATATTTAGCTTTGTAAGGGTTTAATGAAAGTCATACCAGAAATTGTGATTTATATACTAAATGTAACAAGGTAGTGCCATTGATAATACAAATTGATCTTAAAAATGCATCTTTTTCCATGTTAAAACATTGAACAATTTCTTTATATTATGACCCAAATGCAGAAATATTTACTTTGCATAACTGGTAATTGTATCTTTTTTTTTATAATTTTAATTGTAAATGCTGAAATATTTTAAAAGGGGATTAATTTACAATGTATGTCATAATACCAATCTGATTTGAATACTTACATTTATAATAACATTCTCACTTTATTGCTTAACTATGTATAAAATAAGTCATATTATAACTCAAATATTATTTTAGGCAGCACAGTCCTTTTTAGCTCGACTTTTCTATGAAAAGGGGAGCTATCCTACTCGCCCCGGCGTCGGCGTCGGCGTTGGCGTCACACCTTGGTTAAGTTTTTCGTACCACCCCACTTTATTTCAGAAGTATTACAAGTATGGCTTTGAAACTTACCATACTTGTTCACCATCATAACCTCCATCTACAGACAAGAGTACATAACTCTGTCAAGGTTTTTGACAGAATTATGGACCTTTTTTGACTTAGAAAGTGTATTGAGCTTGGTTAAGTTTTTTTGTACCACCTCACTTTATTTCAAAACCATTGGAGGTATTGCTTTGAAACTGACCATACTTGTTTACCATCACGACCTTCATCAACAGACAAGAGGACATAACTCTGTCAAGGTTTTTTGACAGAATTATGCCCCTTTTTGACTTAGAAAATACATTGAATATGGGTAAAATCCACTTATTGCCTTAACCCTTTGAGATATTGCTTTGAAACTTTTAATGCTATTTCACATCATTACCCCCATCTGTACGCAAGAGAAGGTAACTCTGTCAAGGATTTGTTTTAAAAATTAAGGCCTTTTATCGACTTAGAATCTTGGTTAAGTTTTTAGTACCAGTCCACTTTTTGACTGAACTGTTTGAGATATTAATTTGAAAGTTGGAATACTTGTTTACAATCATGATTCCCAAACATGTCCAGGAGAAGGTAATTCTGTCAAAGATTTTATTTGAATTATGGCCCTTAACTGTCAATGTTTTGTATTATAGGCAAGCACTAAAAAACTTAAAAAATCTAAAAAAATTCATTCCTATCCACTGAACCTGCAGTGTTCAAGGGTATCACACAATTCAGTAAAATAATTCTTCACTAAATATCTTAATGCTCATGGCCATTGTTCACTTTAAAAATACAGAGATTCTTGTATTGCCTTTTACTGCAAAAACTTTTTTTATTGGCAAGCAATAAAAAAGTCGAGCGCGCTGTCTTACGGACAGCTCTTGTTACTTAAAATTTTGTTGTTGTTTTTCCAGTATGCTATTGTACTTAGATATACATGAACATGTATGGTAAAAACCCATTAATATTTCTTCCACATTGTTGCTTCATCCCAATTTATGCATAATGATGTTAAGTAGTAGCAAAAATAGAAGTAAATCCATTTCAACATTTGTGTGTTCATTTTAGCTGAACAATCCAAGATATGAAAGCTAAATATAACTTGAGTCATGTTTCTGGAAGAGATTATTTTCGCATGTGTCATATTTATGGAATTCTTTTAAACCTTGTACTAGACACCAAATTTCATTTCTTTTATTCATGCTACTTTTACTGTAGTAGTTTTCAAAACAATAATTTGAAAGGCATGTAATGTTTTAATCATAAGCTCTGGTTGTTAATGAATTGTAGATGTACTTTTGGAAATGTCAACAAGTTTAATGGCTTAGTTCTTTTTTTGATACCTTTGTGAAAGAAGTACTTTGTCGTAATGCTTGTAGATGGTGGCCGTGTAGGTTCAAGCCCCATCAGAGGCGAGCTCTTTTAAGTTCTGTAAACTGTGATCTTTTATAAATATTCATTAAATATTTTTGCTGTAAATTTTTTTTTAGAGTTTGTTAATGATATTTTGAACATATTTTTTTTTTTTTGCTCAAGTGCTATATTTTTGATGTTTTTGTTTTGTTTTTACTGATCTTTAAAAAAGTAATTCATTCCACATTGTTCATGTTTTTCATGTTCTGTCTTACGTGTGTGATAAATATACTAGTTTAACTAGATTATTATGTTTTGTAAAAATATCTGAGTTTTTTTTTGTTTTGTAAAAATATCTGAGTTTTTTTTTTGTTTTGTAAAAATATCTGAGTTTTTTTTTTGTTTTGTAAAAATATCTGAGTTTTTTTTTTGTTTTGTAAAAATATCTGAGTTTTTTTTTTGTTTTGTAAAAATATCTGAGTTTTTTTTTGTTTTGTAAAAATATCTGAGTTTTTTTGTTCTTTTTGTTATATAAATTTATGAAAGTGCAATTCATGTTTTACACTGCTGTGAATATGTACTGTAGAACTTTGGTAGGTGGAAGTTGAAGAGTAAAAACTTTGAGACATTGGGACATCGGTCCAGGTATCAGTCTTAATTGAATAACAAAATTTGAAACACACAGCACACAGTAAAATTCCACAAATACATGGTGGTGGGGTGGGGGGTGGGTTGGGGTAATCAGCTTTCATTTTATTTTGACACACAGGAAAAATTTACTAATCGAAGTTCCACAATTTAGAATTTCTACAGTATGTATAATTATATATATGTATATTTACTTTTTATTTTGAAAGCTTTTCTTTTTTAGTGCCTATTAAAACTATGCCTTGTTATTGGTTATAAGAAGTGGCTTCTTGTTTCAAAGTTTGTTTTTAATATTAGCTATAAATATTATTGACTGGATATATTACCCAGTTGAAACATTTATATACATGTAGTAGACAACTATTTTTTTTTGTATGACAATACTGCGCGTTTGTAATGTGGCTTTTTATTGGATGGTCTGGATGTTTATATAGTTTTATATATACGGCTGTTGTCAGTTTATGAAAATACTAAATTTTTTCCAAAAAAAAAAAGGAAGTTAGCTGTATTATAGATCGGTTTTAAAGATTCCTGGTAGGTTATATGGTCTAGTGACTCAGGTTATATATGCAAACAACTGTTTTATATAGGGCCATATAACTTGTCAAAATTTTTATAACTTATGATATAACGGGTCAAATGTCTTAATAACCGATTTATAATTAAGCACATTTACATATGAGAAAAACTGAAAATTAATTAATGAATTTACTGAAGCTATGCATGTAAGTAATAATGCAGAGGTCACAATTATCCAGTGAAAATTGATGTTACAAATGTGCAGTATTAAAAATAGATGAATCACTGCAGGCTCGATATTTCACTCTCCGTTATAACACTAATCTCAGTATAGCGCTTATAGACCTTGGCTCCCAAAAAAAAAAAAAAAATCATGTAGATCTAGATCATTTTATAGCGCGCCATATCTGCTATAACGCTTGTTCAATTTTACAGTCAAGTACCGTAAGCAATTGTAATTAGGACATTTATGATCGCCAAAGGTGTGAAAAACATGCACAGGTTAGCGTTTATCCGGTCTTTTGTTGATTTACCTGTCCATCAGTCAGGCATCAAATTGTTTCCAAAATCTCAAATTCATATCATAAGTGTGACATGGGCAACCGGTGGTGAGTATAAATAAACTAAAATTAACACACATATCTGTGACATGCAAACCTCCCTGAATTACATCATTGAATTGTTTTAGAAAAAGATAATGTCGTTATTCATTGAACATTAAGTAAAAACATCAGCGTTATATGTATAGGCGATGGGTGGCGTAATAAGATAATTTCGCAATGAGCGTTCTAATGAGAGTCTCGTTAGAATGCGGGGTTGAGACATTGGACCCCAACATGAGCGTTATAATGAGGCTGTAGTGTATTTT